GGGGGGATGGAGGACCACCACCCCATGGCTTTCTGGAAGCTGGGGGGATGGAACACCACCACCCCATGGCCCACTGGAAGTTTGGGAGATGGAAGACCATCACCCTGTGTCCCACTGGAAGCCGAGGAGATGGAGGACCACTGCCCCATGGCCTGCTGGAAGCTGAGGGGTTGGGGGACCACCGCCTCATTGCCTGCTGGAAACCAGGGGGATGGGGGAATCACCACCCTGTGGCCCGCTGGAAGCTAGGAGGTGGAGGACCACCATTCTCGTGTCCCACTGAAAGCTGGAGGCATGGAAGACCACCACGCTGTGGCCCGATGGGCGCCAGGGGAATGGGGGACTACTGCCCTGTGGCCTGCTGGCAGTTGGGAGGATGCAGAACCACTGCCCTGTGTCCCAGGGGAAGCTGGGGATGGAGGACCACCATTCCCATGGCCCACGGAAGCCAGGGGGGATGGCACCCCAGGTGTGACTTACATGCCCGGCTTGGCCCCGGCCATGATGACCATGCGCAGAGCAATGCGCTTGTGCAGATTCCACTTCTCCACGGCAGCTGCCACGCAGATGACACCCACCAGCAGCAGTGTTGTGTTCTTGAAGTACTCAGCCGCCACCTGCAGAGGCCAGTGCAATGTCAGCCACCACCCGGACCAACGCCAGCACCTTGGCGGCCTGGGCCTCGCCCAGGAACTCCTCCACCAAAGAGGCTGGGCGAGGGGAAGCAGGGAGCCAATGATTCCCAAGGCTCAGCAGACCTGAGCACCCGCCAGGACAGGCACTGTGCTAAGTGCTGTGCAAAGAGTGCTTCGTTTACGCCAACCAATAACCCCGAAAGCCAGATATTCTTCTTCTCCCCTTTTTTGAACATAAAAACACTCTGTATTTACAATATGAATATTACTAAAGAATAAACACATGCTTGTAATTTTACATTAATCCTCAAAAATTACTAAAACAACCCTGGGCTTGTCCCCAAATCTCATTTTTAATGTCTCTTTTTCTTTGATGCTTTAGAAAATTATTTTCATTTTTATTAGAAAATTAATACTATAGAAAACTTTAAAATATAGAAAAAGTTAAAGAAGAAATTAACCTTAATCCTACTGTTGTTAATATTTTGGTGTATGTTTTTTAAGTCTCTTTTTCTATGTCCATATAGATGCATAATTGGATTCATACAGTATGTACAGCTTTATATCCTGTTTTTTTGTTTTTAATTCAACATTGTACCCTAATCATTTTCTTATGAGACAAAAATTTATGGGGAACATTCATGTTAATGGTAGCATAATGTGTTATCATAGGGATAGATCAGAAATTATTTGGCTATTTCCCTTTTGTTGAATATTTAGGTTTATTCGTTTTTTTGGTCACTATAAACGGTGCAAAGAATAATTTTCTGCATAAATCTTTATCCTTATATAAATGTGATTACTTCCTTAGGATAGAGTTCTTGAAGATGTCAACTTACCTTAAATCTTTTTTTTTTCTTTAAATAATTACAAATAATTTTAAGGTTCCAAAAAGTTCCAAAAATGAATAGTACAAGGAACACCCATATACTATCTATGTGCATAATTTTTTTCTGAATCATTTGAGGGCCAGTTACATACATCACAACCTTTTATCCTTGAATACTTCAGTGTATATTTTTTAATGACAAGGAAATTGAGACATAGGCCTGTTAAAAAGATGTTACATAAGTTTGGGGTCCACAGACCAAGTCCTCTGTGGCACTTCTTTCTTGGAACATTCTCCTCTTATCTCTGCCTGTACATTCCCATCAGATTTCTAAGCCCAGTTCAGGCCTGGTGTCCTTTCTGTGACTCTAGCCTCTGAGTTCTGGAACATTCCCCATGGGAACTCTTAATCTGTACTTCACAGGGCACTTGGGACAATGCTTGGACTACTGTATATTTATTTATATTTTTATGTGTATCTCTCTTGTCTATCAACTAAATTTTATGCTGCTGAAGGCCAAGGATCATGTCTTATACTTCTTTCTATAATTCTTCAATCGCTTCTTATGCATCCAAAAGCTGGACAATGAATAAGGAAGGCCGAAGGAGAAGAATGCATTTGAATTATGGAGTTGGTGAAGAATATTGAATATACCATGGACTTACAGAAGAACAAACAAATCTGTCTTCGAAGAAGTACAGCAGAATGCTTTTTAGAAGGGAAGATGGTAAGACTTTTTCTCACGTACTTTGGACATGTTATCAGGAGGGACCAGTCCCTGGAGAAGGACATTATACTTGGTAAAGTAGAAGGTCACTGAAAAAGAGGAAGACCCTCAATGAGATGGACTTACACAGTGGCTGCAACAATGGGCTCAAACACAGTAGCGATAGTGAGGATGGCACAGGACCGCTACGAGCTGGAACCAACCCGAAGGCACCTAACAACATAACTCCTAGCACGTAGTAGGGTAATATGCAAAAGTGATACTCAATGAATATTTGTCACATACATGAGAATTGTTCCAGTCCAGAGGAGACAGGACAGAAAGTGAGAAGAAATAATATAGCAAAGTTTAATTTTAATCCGAAAACCTTGTTAAACTGAGGAAACAAGAACATTTTTAACTGCAGGAAAAAATAAAAGTTGAACAGGAAGGAAAATGTTAGTAACATCCTTGGCATTTGAAGTAAAAATATGTATGTAATCATACCAATGTTAAACTTTGATTACTGAATTCATAAAAATTGTGATATAGCTATGTTGGGAGGCTAGAAGGAGGGGAACTGAGGAACTTCAGGGAACAAAATCCTCATCTGCTTCCATAGGAAGTCAGTCAAGCATGTCTGAAAGTGATGACTCGAGAACTAATAGAAGAAAATCACATAGAAATACGGAGCTCAGTACCAGAAGAAGCAGTTGACCAAGTTAAAGTTATTGACTCTGGGGAGTGGGGCTGTGGTGGGGGTGGAATGGGGAGGGGTGGGGAAGAAGATAGCTGTTTCTCATTGTAAGCTTTTCAGTATTATTTGATTTTTAGACTCTTTGCATTTAGTACTTCAGTAACATAAAAGCCAAAATCAAGGCTCCGTTTCCCTCTTCTCGATTTGCCCCATGGTAGTTGCCTTGTGTCCAGTGGACGAGGTTTGTGGAGGAGAACTCCTGCCCCCTCTGTGACACTTTCCTGGAGGAGCCCTGTGCTTCTGATTAACTTACTTCTTGTCCTCAAGCTCATCCCTGAGCTGACAATGGTTTCTAAACCCCAATGAGGGCAGAGAAGGACCCTGCCCTGGAAGGATCCTCTAGGTGGGACATCAGGAAGGCCTCTGAACAGGGTTCCTGGGTGAGGATCTGCCCCCTGGTGGGAGGTGGGGGCACTACAGGGATGCCCAAGGGTTGTGGCCCAGCTGGGGGTCTA